GGGAAATGGGGAGAAAAGTGCGTGGCAAATAATCCATCAAAAAAGCCGGAGCGAGATCGATACGTCGTGTTAAATTTTAAATGTGTTTGCTGGCAGTTAAACTGCTCTGGACTCATTACAACAACAGTGCTGGATTTATTCTAATGCGCTGCAGTCTGAACAACAAGCGCATTAATTCTCCTTTAATTGTAAACTGGGAGCATTTGAAAACCATTCAGTGTGCAAATTATGCTGATTCAATTACCGTTTAGTTACAGACTTCATTACCTGAATGCTTTTCTTTTTTTTCTTTCTTTTTTTATTTTTTTTTTTCCGAGGGTTTGGCATTGCAGAGTGAAGGAGACGATTTTCCAGTTTCCCCTCCAAACAATGCGAAATATGATACAAAAAAAAAAAAATCGTGAATAAAAGACTAGCTAGGGGGAGGGAACGCGTCCTTCGGCTGGGCTGTGTCTTCTGCCAAAACATTCGGGGAGGATCCAAAGGATTTCCCTAACACGATTCTTCCTTCTGAATCGATACTTCCACGTTTATGCCAATCTCTTCCTGTTCTCTGTATTTCGGGAGTGACTCTGAAAGTTTGCATTAGGCCATCGCGTGATAATAAACTGTTTATTAGCAGCGAAGCATGAAGTTTTGATTAAAGCTTTAATGCAGTGCCACAAAGCAGCAAGGTGCAGCATTTTGTTGTGCCTATCCGTGTGTGCACATCACTCTGTGTGGACTAGAACAGTTTCTAATTAGGAATTTAATTTTCAGTGCTCAAACTGTTAGGAAGGGTAAATGAAATGGCAGCACTAACAGCTTCCTACCGAGTTTGTTAAAAAGCCCTTTTTGGGAGGGGTTAACAATATAGGTGTGAGAGAAAATAGCCAGTTTCCCCTTCGCTTGAACTAGGAGGTGTTCAGGGAGAGTGAACTGCTGCGACGAGGCTGGGCTGCCTCGAAGTTACTAATTTACAGATACTACCTGCCTCGTAATTTCGCTTCACCCAACAAACAGCTGCTCTTTGTGTGTGTACGTGGTTTTTTTTTTCCTTTCCCTTTTCCCCCTCCACCTTTAAACTTCTTTGTAATGAAATCTTGAAGGGGAAAAAAAGTGTTTCTGCTTTTCTCCCCCATTTTAATAGAGCCATATGTCATCCAGCCTTACTGCCTGAAATTTATAGAGGTCATAGCCGATCAAAACGAGTAGGAATTTTGCTGGGCTAGAGATGGTTTGCCGTATTATGTTTATTGATAAGAACATTAGGTGTCCTCTGCAAGACGTGTATTTTTTCCTTGTTTTGAGCTGTGCAGTGTATTGAAAATGTTATATTTGATTTGCAGTGGAAATGTATTTCTTTTGGCCTAAATGGATAACTTAGTACTTATTTGGTAGAATTAGGAGTTAACCTTTAAAGGCTTGCAGTTGTTTTCCTTCTTTACTTTTAGAGAGCTGCAGAAAATGTTCAAACACCTACGCTCGGTCTTATTCACCACGACACTCCACTGCTCTTCTTTCGAAAGCATCTTAGTCTAATTCTAATGGATAATATTTCATTAACTAACAGTGCTGTTCTGAGCTCAAAATCGTCAGTAAGGAAGCACGTAAATAGTAAAGAAAAACCCCAAAAGATCGCAGACTTTCACAGGACCGAGTTCTGTTTGTAAAGACACCGGGATTTTATACCATTCCCGTACGGAAACCTTCTCGTTGTACCTCCTGCCTAGCTGACGCTGAATTTCCAGTTCGACACCACAGGACAATAAAAGGCCAGGCTGTTTGTTTTCCTTTCCTCCTGTTTTTTCCCCCCCCGTGTGGAAGCAGCATGCCGTAGAAGCGACTACAGAACGCGCGGGCTGTTAGCAAGGACGGCAAGGATCCTAACGAGTTATTTCTCACTGGGACAGGTCAAGCAGGGCCTCGGAGGAGGAGGCAGATCGTTTCCGTGCCGGCAGCTGCGGAGCCCGTCGGTGCGGCGGGTCTGGCGGGCTGTGCCCGGCAGCTCCCGGCGGAGACGGGCGCTCGCCGCGTCCCGCCGCTCCCCGCCCGCATCCGGCGCACCTCGGGAAACGCGGCCAAAGTGCCTCGCAGATAACAGGACTTCATCCCCCATCACGGTCACAGGCTTTACCCCCGCACACTCGAGGGAGATCTTCCCGCACCGTACTATCGTGGAGTGGTAACATGCGCCTCTTTTGCTGGGATCATCCCGGCTCGAAGGGACTTTGGCTCGTTATTTAAGTACTCCTTACCCGGAGTAGCGGGTACGGAACTAAAACCAGTCGGAGTTTTGCGTGACATGCTGCTAGGGTAAGGATCCCTCCCCTCCTCAGCCCCCAACCTGGCTTGTCTTCTCCCAGTACAGTGTTTATTCACCAGAGGGTTTGTTAATTAGGATACACACCGGAGCCGGCTGGCAGAGCGCTTTAACTCCATGTAGAACTTAAGCAGTGCGAGAGCAAAAGGAGGGGTGATTTTTCCCCCCGCGACGAGAGCTGTTTCGCAGGGAGAGCTTCTCTGCGCGGTGCTTTGTCAGAAGAGTAGAAGTGCGGAGCTCACGGGGCACCTTCTTTTACAGGGCGATGGCTTTGGCAGAGGGGTTTTGGAAACAGCCTACTAATCTCCTCCCCACGCCGGGCTGGGATTTTAAGGTCTATTCCACACCGCCACTGTAGCTCGGAGGCCTTCTGGCAGCCGAGAGGAGCTTTCCTGAAAAATCGTTGTGAATCATAGAGGTTTAAAATTGTCCTCAGCGGTGGCACACTTGGTACGGTATTTGCTGAGGGGGTAAACAGAGGGTTAGTGGCTCCAGAGTTTGTGTACATTTAATTTCGCTGTGTGTCGCACTGTTTGCGGTCATTTCACCTCGGTTAATGAAAGCTGTGGTGAACGTGAGGAGATATCATGTGCTAGCGAAAACAAGTTGATTTGTTTTTGCTTCTTTCTTTTTAAAGATAGTAGGACTGTGTCCTACTTTGTCATGGAAGAAAAAAATCCCAAACAAACCACACCTCTATAGGCAGCGAAGATAAAAGAAAAGAGAAAACAAAGGAGAGAGAAGGCATTGTCCTATCGTAATCATTACCCACAGTATTTTCTCAGAGGCATTTGGTGCTGAATGCATTCGGGTATTGCTTTTTTCCCCCCAAAAGAGCGATTTCTTGCAATTTTAAGTTTGACGTCGAAGGCGGGGAGGGCGGGGGAGAGAGCTTGGCGAGCAGGGAGAGAGGGAGAGAAGTGGCTTTTTGTGCGGGGGAGTTTATGTAGCCTTGAGATGGTCCTTCTCCCTCTTTCTGAAGGAGTTAGAGAAACGGTGTCGCGGTGGAGTGTGTGGGGGGGGAAATTACCCTTTCGGAAGGCGCGGGAATAACAACCGGACTCCCATCTCGTGTAGGCGAAACAAACTTTTTTTTTTTTTTTAACGTAGCGTCCTTTTCTGGGCTTCCCTACTTCCTAATCACCAGGGACCTGTGCTAGTTTAAGAAGGGGTTTCCTCGCACTGAAATGTCTTTTTCCTGGTGTTTAGTATACACTATTTCTATTTATTAAATAGCTGGAGAAAGCAGCCTGGAACAGATTTCGCCTTTTAGGGAGGTACCTGAACATAATCCCTGCCTCTCTTCTACTAGACACATCTTCCAAGTCGGTACGGTATCGAGAGGTATCCATTTTAACCTCTTTGATATTTCCCTACATCTTTAAACCGCCATTTTAATTAACAAAAAGCCAATTTCCCCAATCCTCTTGGAAAGTGCGGTGAAGCAGGTTAAGAAACCAATTGCTTGGAATAGCCAGCACTTGCAGAAAATGAATGTGTGAGCCATCCTTCCCTCCCTAGGATTGGCTTCTATTCTCCCGATTGGGTTTGGGGGAAGTTTTGCTGTGATTTATCAGATAGTTTAACACCCATTCGTTCTTCTTGTAAGTCAGCATTAAAACACCTCCTGGGTGCTTTGTAAATACAGCTTTAGCATTTTTTTCATGCAGCGGATTGACATGTTGACGATTCTGCTTTAAGGAATGTGACAATAAAGTGGAAAACCAAAGGCTGGCAAGCACTTCATCAAGGATAAAAAGGTTCTGCTGTAAGGATGTCACTCAATTTATTGTGAAAGTCGAATGAATTACGTTTAATGAAAGTGCTCCCCAGATGAATATTACCAGCAATTTCCTGAGTTGGCTCTGTCAGATTGATATGAGGAAATGCCAACCCATATCAAAAAAGATCTCCAATCTCAATTACCATGCAAGCTTTCGAAGAGCTTCTTTTTATTGATATGATATATATTGGCGGGTTCTCAATGCTGTGCAAACTGCTCTCTGTTCAGCAGGACAGCACATTTCCCAGTTTATTGTTTAACCCTACATTTTTCTAGCTGTTTAAACTTCTACGAGTGCCTTTCTTTTGGAGGGGAAAGCACCTCTCATCCTCTTTCCCTTTCTGTGACCTAGAGAGACCAAAGTTGTGTTTCTGGCAGACAGAGGGGGCGACGTTCATTGCAGGAAGTTTGTTGAGCCTGGATGGACAAAGCTGAAGGTCGAGAGAAATAACTCGGCTGAGACAATGGCGTTGGATCCCCTCATTTTCAGGCGACAATCCAGATCACGGCAATATTTGTTATGACTAGCAATCCCAATATTCTCACCCTTTCTACCTCATTCCTCTAGGGCTTCTCTGGGCAAATTAGAAATTCACTAAGCCCGCGAAGAGAGAAAAGCTCTTATGTCTCCTCATCTACATAAGAATTGACTTTGTGAGAGGCTTTTCTGTTCTATTTTAACTACTGTGGCACCGGTCGCTGCTTAGGAATACAGCTTTTTTTCCCCCACAATCCATCTTGCTGGACTTGTTTGTGATAGATTCAATCAGCTTTCCTCTATCACTTCCCCATTCTCTTTCAATTTTTAAATTGAAGCAGAGAGAGAGAGAGACGGTACTGAAGTACAACCAGGAGGTTCTCGGTACTCTGCTGCAGGACGGGGACATGGGCACCTTCATGTGTGGGGCTGCAGTCCTTGCAGGCAGCATTATTGAGGATGCAGAAAGAGCTTGTCCTTATCACGTATCGGGTTAGTTTGGGTTACTATTTTCCTGCTCATCTCTGGCTCCGTGTTTAAAGCCTTCTTCATTGCACGATTAATCCATGTGATTTTTGTTTGTTCATTTATTTATTTTAAGTGTGGGTTTCCCCCCTCTGTTGGAGATGTTGAGTGTTTCCAGCGGGTGCGAGCACTGCGGGGAGAGCGGGCAGGCGCTGGCAGTCGGACTAGGAGAGGGCTCACTTTGGGGTGTCCCGCTCCCCCCCGGCCAGGGCTGGCGTTGCCCCTCCGGCCGCCCCGGCAGTGCCGTGCAGGACCCTGGAGAACGCGCGGGGCGGGGGCAGCACCGTGGACAGCGCCCGGCCCCGCACCGACCCGGGGACGGCGCCGGCCCCTGGAAAATACTCTCTCATAGACGCCTCGTCCCGGGGTAGTCAATGTTTCGGGCCGCTGCTGCTTAGACCTCACCCGCAACAGGCTCTGACCTTGGGCTTTGTCAGCCTGCGTCCGTTTTCCTGAAGGAAGAAGTAGACAGGTGGACCAGCAAATTGATGTTGATGCTGACTTGCTTTCTCTCAGTGGTGTAGCAGTTGCTTTGTTTTCTGGAGAAAAACTGATCAGAGGGGCAATACATGAGTATGGAGTGGAACAGGGATGACAGAATGAATCTGGGGATCAGGAAGGCTGTTCTAGGATGCCCAGGTTTGTCTCATTCTATCCTAGGACCACAGCATCCTCTCCCTTTGGAGAGAGATCAGAGATACTTGAGACCATTGGAGCAAAAAATGAGCTGTGAGACATGGTTGACACCAAAACAAGAGAACAGGGAGTGATTAATTAATAATGACACTTTCTATCCCATGAGTAATGGCAGGAGTGACTCTCAGACACAGCTGATGTCCTTTTTGGGTTAGTGGCACTCTGAGGCATCTGTGAGGGGCAGCCAGATCTTGCTGTCTACACTTAGTTGTGTCCTGGCAGACAGTGCTCAGGGTATGTCCCAGGTCTCTCCTTGCTTTCACGAGGAGATAATTGCAGGCAAGAGCCTCCATCCCTGTAAATCCCCACTCACTATCGACAAAGCTGTCTTCTAGAGCTCTGCTGCCTGAAAAGCACTTGTCAATGAAACAGTGACTTTTGGCAAGGCAGGTATAAGTGAATGACTGATGGAGAGTCCTTCAATAAAGGAATGTGATGGGAATTGACTGGGTTGAGAAGAAAAACAACCCACAATTCCCACCAACCCTCCAGACAAAACCATAAGCCATTTATTCCTGATCCATATTCTCCCATGAATATCAATAGCGATTGTGATGCTTTTGCTAGATGTGAACACTCTCCAGTCTCTTTTGATTACACCATTTCCCCATGTGTGGTGTCTTGAAACGGTATTGTCTGCTGCAGAGATATTGCTTTTATCTTCCAAATGCCACCCTCATTAATGTCAATGTCTCATCGTCCAGCTAGTGACAAATGTCTCAGGGACGTTCATCTGCCTTGCACACTGTGCCTGTCTCTTTTCCTCTCCAAGGAAAGGTTTAGTAATATTTTATTTAGTAATATCTTCTTCCTTGCCCCCTGCATCTGTTGAAAAAAATTTGTCCACTAGTTGATCTCTATCCTATCCTTTCACAAGTTAGTGCCTTCTGGAGTATCAGCTCTCCTGTTAATCTCTTTGATTACTTCGATGATGACAGGTTGACAAGTGCATGGAAAGTTAATCTGCTTTTTCTACATCTGCAGGTTTTTGATGGGGGAGAAATTAGGCTTACCAAATGATTATGACACTAGTGCCCTGTTTTCCTGTGATTTCATTTTCAAATCCAGAATTACAAAAAACTAAAGGGCAAAAAGCTTGTCTGCTTCTTCGGATGTGTAGCTTGGTTTTTTCTTGTTGTATACACTTGTGAATGCTCTTTTTTTTCCCTCTGATCTTTTGAAAAACTGATAAAAAATATGTTTACATTATTTCTTTGTATATTTCCTTAAAATTTTAGTGATAGCTGTACAGTAGACTTTTAGCAGCAGAGCTGACAGCCAAAATAATACTAGGAAAACTAGGATCTAATGGCCTTAGTTCTTTGAAAGACTTGTAACTAAAATTTTTATATCTGTATGTATATATATATATGATATATTAAAATTATATTATTTATTTAGAAAGAAAATTAGAAAATCATGTAACTCTAACCAACACAGTATCCTCAGTTGAAAAACAACAGATGTTACTTACCTTCCTTGTTAGAACATGCTTTGATCTGAAAATCCCTGAACTCAGTGGTGATTTCTAACAGTTCTGGTAGTTTTGGATCTGACCCTATGAGAATAGTGCTTCTACCTGATGTTGCATGCATATGTCAGAAATAACAGACTAGTATGTTTTATTATCCTCTTCCCCCTTTCCTCTGCCCCATGTCAGCCTTGCATTATGTGTGAGTTAACTCTCAGCAGGCACGATATTTCCTGCACTTGTTTTGGAGGTGCATATGAGCTACTGGGAAAAAGTAAAAAGAAGAGACATTCTAGGCATACATTGAGTGCACTATTGAAAAACAAAGACTCTTCCACAGCAGATCCTATGGCCTGATTCTGCATTGTAATACAAGATAGGATTCCTATGCAAATCAATGATTTGTTTACTTTTGCGAGGAAGACAGATTCTGTTTCCTGTTGAAGATTAAGTAGGCCATTTCTATCACCGAGAATTGCTTGTCACTATTCAGATGCCACTTCAAATTGAAAGTGTAATTGGCAGCTCTTAAAAATTTTTAGCTAATGGAATTTCTGTTATGGGTTCTTCAGACCACCTGTACCATAATATTTATCTGCACAGTCATTTTTATAAGCTATTCTTGATTGAACTTTGGAAAAACAATTCTTCTGCTAGGGTATTTTGCAAAGAAATGTTGTCATAGGCCTTCAGGTATAAAAAACTGCTTATATAAAATTAATGGACTGCTTTTTATATTTTCAATCTGATCCATAGCATTTGCGGTCTTGCAAAAGAAGGTATTGACTCAAAATAAGAATATTAAAACTGTATCCTCACTCTTGTTGCACTGTCAGTAGCAGTATTGTAAAATATTGGTGTGTTTAAAATCAGAATGTTAGTCTGTAATTTGACTCTAATTTAGAGTAATTTCTGCTTTCACTTACTGCAACTGCTTTGTATTAGAGTCAGAGATTTTTCTTAATGTTTATGTGGGAAATGCTTTGCACCTTGAGAAGATTTTGTAAGCAATATATTGATAAGTAAAACATAGCAATAATACTGTAGCTTTGTGGAGCACAACTGACAAGTGAATAGGTCTTTAAAGAGAAGGAAAATAAGAAAGACTACAGAGATATGGCATAAAAGATGTGCATAATAAATAGTACATGAAAACCTTCACCATTAAAAAAGATGGGCTCCATCCTGCTACCTTTATCTGCAATGAGTATTACCTTAACAAGGTCCGCATTTTATATTCCTACTTGTTTCTTCTCCCTGCTTCCACAAACCACCACATTTGCTTACTGGCTTCCTTGGAGTAGGTGGCAGTGTAGTACATGTTGCAAACAGAGGGGAGAGAGATTAGGACCCTTTAGCAATACTATTTTTAATATCTGAGTTAAAACTTCAGCAATTTGAGTAGTTACTTGCACAAAGGATAACCATTACTTCACAGAATCCTTTCTGTGAGTGGTCACTCGGAGTGAGTAAGGAATGACATTTTCTGGTCCTTCATAAGACTGTGGTCTGTGTGAATCATCTTCCATATCTTCAGCTTCTCTCTGTGCTGACTCAAGCAGGGGTACCCCTTGCTATGTACCTCCTTCCTCTGTGAGAGGTCTGCTACCTCTGCTAGCCCTAGTCATTGCATTAAGGTGCTATCCCACTGAATTATAAATATATCAGAATACATTTTGTGTTTGCATCTTAAAGGCACAGAATATTTACTATCTAGAGCAGACTGAGAGTCTTGGAAAAGTTATTGTGTGGATTAGCAGATTGTAATGATATGGTTCAGTCTTCCAGCATAATGCAATCCAAGTGAATATGGAAATTTGTGACTAAGTACACTAGGGGAGGTGCCAGTGCTGCTTTTGTCCTCCACAATTTATAGAATATCCCGAAATTGTGGTGTTGTAGCAGACACTTCAGAGTAGAGGCCAATGGTTTGTAGCTGCTTTTTAGAAGCAAAACACAAGCTTAACTGAAGTTGGGAGACTCACTCACTTTTCAGTGCTTTGCTGAACTAGGAGAAAGTGAATGCAGTATTTTTTTTGGTATTTTTTATTTTAGGATATAAAACTTTCTTCTTCCATGACAGAAAAAATAACACATCTATGCCTTTAAAAATGTTACAAAGTAATATTTTTGCCAAGAACCTGCTGAATTTATCTCTAGGCTACTTAGGATCCATTACAGTATTGTTTCTATAACCAAGCACTACTTACTATCCCTTATTCTAAAAAATTATTGTTATCCAATTATTATTGGATAATAATTACTGAATAATTAAAAATCCAATAATTATTGGATAATAACTATTTTTGATTAACTCTGAATTTTTGAAATAATGATTTGTGACTCATTCTGACTACTGATCCAAGTTCTGAAGAAACAGTTTGCAAAATATCTTTATTTTTTGAAATGAAAGTAAAGTTAGGCTTTTCAAATAGATAATTCATGCATTCTGGTTTTTTTTTTTTTCTGTAAGTGTATTTTTAAAGCATTCAGACAGCATCACTTACTGTTTTCTAGAATTACAAAGAAATGGAAATGGTGGTGTACCTCAGAAAGCGATGTGTGGCCTGTATGCGGTATTGTATTTGTGCTGTAAATTTGAAGTCTAACTGCACTATTGATGTACATTTTTTGCAGACCACTGCAGATACTTTTTTTTTCTTTCAGAAGAAAAATGTATCAGAATAATCACCATGTAAGGCAAAATATATATCCTTATTTATTCTTCCACAGGCAACTTGCATGTTGATTCAAGACCATTCAGGCTCATGAGAACTTTGCCATTGATTTCTCTGGTTAT